TTTTTTTTTTTGTCTCTCTTCCTGTGCACACCTATATAATTTGATCTTGCAGATAAATTTAACATTGATACTTAAGAAATGGTTGCCTGACTCTGAGGATGTGATAGATGTGGTGAGTATTAATGTATACGTGTACTTAATACAATCCATTTTTGAAATACTTCTATGATTTATATTATGTTTTTAAGATTGCTATGATTCTCTTAGTTATATCTAATCAATATACATAAATCATTTATAATCATGGGGTTGCAATTAGAATTTAAGAATTATGAAATTTTGGGGTATACACATCCAGCACTAAATGCAATGAATTAATTTTGCCAATGCATATAGAACCCTGGGAGGCTAAGGAGCTTGCTCTGTATTCCTAGTCAGAGACAGAATTTGATACAAAAGCAACTTTAATACGTTACTAAGAAGAATGTTCTTCAACTCCATCCAAGTAAATACAAAAGATGTAAAGTCTTCATATTTTTTCATGGCTGAATGGTATTCCATGGCCTATATCTGCCATCCAATGTACACAATATGAATGTGAAACCAATATGATAAACAACTACACCCCCACATGAGAGAACAACACAATTACATTTTAGTTGGAGCTTGGAAGGAGGAGGAAAGGGGAGAGGGGAAGAGGAAGGTGGATTGGTGTGCTCTCACATAATGGGCACAATGTCAGGGTATATAGCACACCTCTGGGTGAAGGACTCAACTACAACTTGAACTTTACCTAACAAATGGAAGCAATGTAACCTAATCATTAGTACCTTTATATTAATCTAAAATTAATAAAAATTGAAATAAAATTTAAAACAAAACAAAAACCAACAGCAAGTTTAAGATATTTGTAGTATATCATACTCTGTCACTCTTACATGTTGGTCTAATACTTCATTGAATACAAATAAGGTACATCTTGAAAAATATAGAATCCACATACATATGTTACATATAACATATACATATATACTTCTGTAACAATAAACGTGCAAGTCAATAAAAAAATTTTGGTTTCACAATTGTTAATAGCCAAAATTCCCCGTAAAAATTCTGAACATTTTTATATTGCTTAACGCTTGAATGAAGGCCAGTGACTGTGTTCTTACAAATTAAAAACAATCCCAAGATATTACAAGTACTGAAATACTAGGCATAGCGCTTGTCATAGCATATAATGTATCCCATCATACCTTTAATTTATGAGCACCAAAGGACCTCTTTCCACTACTCCATCGCTTCTCTTGTTTCCCACTGTACCTAAAATTATTTTCATTCCATTTTATTTTTTTATTTGTTTATTTGTTTGTCATAAATCAAACTATTTTCTAAAAATATTAATTCCATTAACATTTGGGTGGTTGTTATGGGTTAAAGTGCATCTCTTTAAAATGCATATGTTGAAATTCTAAAACTCAGTGCCTTAAATTTGACTGTATTGGGGGATGGAGTGTTTAAAGAGGTAATTACATAAAAACAGACCATCTGGGTGGCCCCTAATTCATTATGAGTGACGTCCCTATAGGAAGAGAAATTAGGACACAAACAGGCACAGAGGGACCCACGTGGAGACAGGGTGAACATAGCATCTTCAGACTGAGGATTAAGGCCCACATACAAGCCAACGCTGAATGGATGCCTGGGCTTACACTTTCACACTCTAGAGCAGCCAGGAAATACATTTCCATTTGCGTCACTCAATGGTGTTTTGGTATGACAGCCCTAACAAACGAATGCAATAATGTTGCAAAAATAAAAGTTCGATGTACTGGAAAATACATTACTTTTGGTGAAAATAAGGACAAGTTCATATTTTTGCTTATCATCTCCACCACGTCATTTGAAATGACCTGTCCCTCCCACGGTTTCTTCATGCTGCCATTTTTTCCTGCTATATGACTGCATGCATAGGCGGTTAGATTCTGTAGCAAAGTGAAAAATGTAAAAGGCAGTAATGCCCAACACCATTTTGTCAATCTGAAGGAATCTTACCTATTCATCTTTTTCTGAGGCCATGCATCATTCCATAACAAAGTATGCTGCTAATGCAAACCCAAAAGTTGCCTTGATTTTTCTCTTCAGTACGGTTCTGGTATCATCAGTTTTTTTAAAGGTAATTACATAAATATGTCCCTAACGTATTATACTGCAAATTATTACACTTCGTGAATATTGTAATGCAGGTCAAAGAGATGGAAGAAAGGTAAAGTTGGAATTAAGAAAACAGGCTCAGTAGCCATTCCTGATAGAAAGAAAGGGAGAGGCCAGTCACAGGGGCTCCAGCCTGCAATCCTAGCATTCTGGGAGGGGGAGCCAAGTGGATCGCCTGAGCTCATGAGACCAGCCTGAGCCAGAGCACCAGAGCAAGACCTCATCTCTAAAAACAACCAAGTGTTGTGGCACCACCTGTAGTCCCAGCTATTGGGGAGGCTGACGCAAGAGGATCACTTAAGCCCAAGAGTGTGAGGTTGCTGTGAGCTGTAATGCTACAGCTCTCAAGCAAGAGTGACAAAGTGAGACTCTGTCTCAAAAAAGGAAGGAAGGAAGGAAGGAAGGAAGGAAGGAAGGAAGGAAGGAAGGAAGGGAGGGAGGGAGGGAGGGAGGGAAAGGAAAAAGGGAAAGAAAAGGAGATTATGCAACTGGGAGACACCCCAAAAGGGATGGGAAATGTAGATTCTAATGGTCCCATTGCCATAAAATAATTGGTAGTCAGATAATTTTAAAGTATGCATTTACATATGAATTGTTATGAATATAATTTTTCTATATTAGCCATATTTCTACCTGTTTTCCTATGTTGAATTTTTTTTACTTCATGACCTTGCATATAGTACTTATATTCACACATATTTTATAAATCCAGCTAGGTATTGACATCTTCAGGATGGATGTCTAGGTGACCAATTTTTTCCTACATGTAGTGTCAAGATTTCAGTAGTCACTTTCATGGTTGTGATATTGAGACATCATACGACCTTGTAATTCATTTCTATCTGTTTTATGTGTAGTTCTAGAGAGTGGACAAACTACTGGAAAGTAATGTATATAAGGGTAGTTTACTAATATGCTTATGAAATATGATTTTGCTTAGAAATTGGCATCAGATTAAAAAGTTCTTTACATGGAAGTTGTGAAGGACCATACATATTAGAATTGTGGAAGGTGAGAGAGCAAAGAGATAACTCTGAGCTCCAATATAATAATAGTGTTACAAAGTCAAAATCCACATTAGTAAACCTGATCAGTCTGCTACCTGAATTTAAATTTGTGTTCATTTTATGATTTAGTCATTGGTTTGAACTTTACAAAGTCCCTGATTTTTGTTTACTAATGTACAATAAATATTTTAGATGTGTTATAAATCCATCCTGCATCATTTTGATATATACTGTATTTTATCTTCATTGCTCATTTAAGAATCACTAGATCACAAGAAACTCTGAGAAACTGTATAATGAATTTCTCTTCCCGTGTTTAAATTAATGACACTTTATTTTCCCCTGAAATTTCCATCAAATTGCAATCTGCAAATTTTATCTAGGATTAGAGAAGCTTACATGATCTGGAGAGTTTCCCAAACCAATTTTCCACACACCAAAACAATATTAAATAAAACAAATATTTATTTTCATAGGGAATTTGAGTCCTGAGGCCTCTCTTTATAAAGAGAGAGATTTTTTCCTATATCATTTTTTAAAATTTTATTTTTTGGAAAAAAAGTAGCATGTTAATGAACATCTTTCATATGAACTCATGTTAAGATCAAACCTTGTTGTTAAAATCCAGGACTTACAGATTGAATTGGATATTGCCATTTTTATTTCAATTTTCTGTAAGGGCAGGAAAAAAAAAACAAATGTTTCGGCATACAGTTTTTTAAAAGAAAAAGAAAAACCTTGGATTACAAGAAGATGGAGTTCAGAAATTGTTCTTTTTTTTCTCGAAAAGAACGAGGAGAGTCAGCATGTTGCTATTGCTCCTTGACATGAAAGCAGCGTCTTTGTTTTATGCCTTCTTTCTCTCTGACTCCTGCAATGCCATCACAGCAGAGTGCACTGTACACCACTGTAAATGATAAGAGTTTCAATAGGCACTTTAGTGGAATTAAGAAAAATCTAACACTCTTCCACCGTGATGCCACAGAGCTATCTTCATTCTAGGTTGTCATGTCAGTAAATTGTATTTAATAGGCCTGAGCTTGTCTCAGTGTGATTCTGAAAACAAAACAAAACATAACGAAGCAAGTACATATTATAGGATTTATCTTGTGTTGACAGAATAAACCGAAACTGACAATATGATAAATATAGCAACTTGCTAGAAACCAGATAATCAAAGAAATCTCGTCCCTATAAAGCATGGATCTGTGTGTGTGTGTGTGTGTGTGTGTGTGATTCTATTCGTGTTTCCTTTTCTTTCTCTTTTTTCAAACTCCTCCTTTTGGTTGTGCTGGAGCCTTCACGCCTCCCCTAAGTGACTGTATCAGGGTTATAACTCTCTTCTTCACCAAACATGTCGGCCAAGACTTTAAAGCGGGGTCCCCAGTCAGTCAGGTAGTCGTAGTCCTGGTCGGCTTCTGTGGTGACAGAGTCGATGGAGCTGAGGGACTCGGCCACCGACCCAGTTCCTTCGTAGGCGTAAGTGGCCAGCGAGTCGTAGGGAGGGGCAGTGGGGTCCACATCGTTCTCCTGCAGCCTTTGAGTAATGAAATCTCTGATGTCTGTGTTATCCTCCACGGGTGGTCTCTGACGAGGTAAACAGAGAGAGTCTGGTTTTATATCCCTGCGAATTTTGTTCTCTTCAATCACTTTTGGGTTTCTCAGGGCCCCGATGTCGAAGGCCTGGGTGTCCTCCTCCCCGCCGCCTTCGTCATCATAGTGGATGACGTTGTCCCGGATGTCTTCCTTGGACGTCATCAGAGTGTCCTTCTTCTTCTGCCTTCTCAGTGCCACATACAGCACAACTATGGCTGAAACAAGACAAAAGTTACAATTTCAGAATAGAAAGCAGATACTCGGCTCTTATCTCTTAATGAAAAGTAAGATCAATCAGGGCTGGTTGAGTTTCATTTATGGTCTTCTTATATATAATCAATAGGCTCGTATATAAGTTTACATTTGGTCATTGTCCAAAGCCAACTTCGTTTTGAAATTATAACTAACAAGAAGCTATAGCCAGGTGACTCACAAAGTCAAACATTTGTGTCCTTACATCATGTATTCAATTTTTTTTAGAGTCAGGTTAAACATTTTGCAGTACTCTGCAAAATACTTAAGAAAGGAAATAATAGGTGTTCTCACCATAGAGAGAGCTATAAGGGTTGATATAGCGAAACTATTATCATTCAAACTTATAGAATATTACCCTCTATAAGTAATACATCAATATCATGTATAGTTAATTTCCCAATTGTAACATTTCAAATATAGGTTAAAAATTATGTTTCTAATAAAATAAACACAATTCTTCACTATTAAAATAATTTTCAAAAGCAATAAATAAGAAATAGTTGTAGGTTGGGTCAGCACTTGTCACTCAAAGGGGTAGGGCATTGGCCCCATATGCCAGAGGTGGCAGATTCAAATCTATCCCCAGCCAAGAAAAACTGCAAAAAATAAAATAAAATAAAATAAAATAAAAATAAAGAAATAAATGTAGGAAGGAAGAAAGGAGGAAAGGAAAATATAAAACATAAGGGCTTAAGTGTTATGAATTTTATAGGTTAAAACCTCTAATTACTTCAACCTGTGTCCTGCCGTATTGAGATCCTTTCCAAATCAAATGTATAATGCTCAGATTACCTTCATGAAACATGATAACATTTGAAATAGTTCACTGATACACTGTTGTTTTGAAATCTCTGTTTCCAGTTAATTTAAAGCATCGGTGCTGTTTATTTCTTCTATGGCTGAAGGGGCTCAGATATAAACAAGTCAGCGCTCAGCTTTGCCCCTCATTATACCCCTCTGCTCCCAGCAGTGGCGCTGAGATCACCACCAAAATGGGGAAGATTTACCCCGGCAGACTGTAGAAGACCCAGGTCATAGAATTGAAAAATATAGAAGAACGCATGATGGTGAAAATCAGTTATTCCCTCGTACTCCAAAATTAGAGTTGGACTAGTTGGAGGGTTGGCGAGCACCTGTGTGACAGGTGGGGATACCAAGATGCTAAAGAATATGGCAGGAGGGAGGAAACCTCAGTAAAGCTCTGAGCAGTAGGCCTTTGGGAATCTCAGAACTAAAGAGATGCAGGGATCACGGGAGGGGCTGCAGGCTTCACGGAGAAGGGCTGTGATTAAACTGTCTTTAGAGCTGTCATGGCTGAGAAAGCCACTACTGAGATGCATCTAAGTGTCACCTAACAGAGACTAGAGCATCGCAAATCTCCTGTGCTTTCCTTCACCTCAGAAAAGGTGTGAGAATGGCTGAGAACCGGCTGGAGGAGTTACGGGAATTTGAGATTGGTCATGGAGGTGAAAGGACAGATAGATTTTTAAGCAAACTTGGTGGCAGTACAAAGCACATCAGTATTTACTCTTGTACATCAGCAAATTTACGACGTGGAGACCAGTGCAGGGGCACTGTGGATGCTCAGGAGTTTCTGGATGAATGAGTGGCAGGTGGCAGTGACGGTACTGGGGACCTGAGCAGCTTATCTATGTTGTAGGAGGCTAATGAGGCCAAAGGAGAAGGCCCAGAACTTAGGAAGGCCTGCTTGGTTGATACAGTCAACCTACAAAAACAGAAAGTCTTTCTAAAAGAAAAGATATCTGTCTGGGAATAGAGCATTGTAACGCGAGCACGCACCCATATACACTATGTGCATTTTCAGGGAGGTGGAGGATGACGAAGGTTTTTAAAGGAAAAACGTGAGGATGATTACATAATTATTTTGAAATAATTATTGTTGGCTACAAAGATCAGTAAGAAGAGGGGTGCAAGTGTGAGGGTGGATAGGCAGCTGCCGGGCAGATGTCTTCCAGACTCACTCTGTGTCAGGTGGGGAGGGCCTTTGTGCAAGGCTTGTGCATGGTCTTTTCTGTCGTCAGGAATGTTAAGTGGAAGAACTCTTCCCATGGCCTATCTCTGGCTCTATTTGTCAAAGGTTTCCTGACATTCCTGACTCTATTTTAGTTGTTGTGCTAACTTTCACAACATAGAAATACCCTGAAACTTAGATATCCACAAGAGAAGAGCATGGGAAACACTTGAAGTTAAATGCCTAATTGATCATGCTTAATTTCACAAGTGACAATGTCATTTTTGAATATGCCGTTGTAAAGTTTATATCATCAGCACAAACAGGGATGATTTATTATTAATTGCAAAGGATCGTATATTATAACTTTCAGGATATTAAAAATACTTTATTCTGCATGCCAAAGTTACATGGACTTAACACCTATGCCATGCAAATTGCACTAGAACTTCACTCTCCAAGCCAATGTGAGCCTTTGACTCAAGGAAGGTTCCCCACAAAGTGGTCTACACATGTGTAATATAATGCCTTCCTCCAGCCTTTACACCCGAATCATTTAAAAATTTATTATTTCATATCCTAGAGATAAAGTCAGGTGTCCGTATTTGTCAGTTTATCTTTGCTCACATAAATATGCATCTATTAACTGATTCCACGCTGCCCTATTGCATGCCTGCTGTAATTTACATTTGAAGGAATGGTTGACAAAGTAAAATCCCTTCTACTTTTGTGAATTAATGAGTGAAACGGAGAAGCAGAACTGAGCTGATGGCAGAGGAAAACCCCTGAAGTAGCTTTGTATTCACTCTCACAGAGACATTACAGAATACATTTGCCACAATCTTTTTTTGCTGTGCTTCCAGATATTTCC